AGGAATCTTTGAAAACCATATCTGCACACTCTTCTTCCACAAACTGCCACCGAGAATCAAGAGGCTCTGCTTCAGCATGAAAACTAACTCGTGTGCCAGGCACTGGGAAGGCAAGGATGCTCTCTGGCTTTCCTGGGGACTGTGGGGCCTGAGCTAGGCAGCGGCTTCGATCAGACTCATATCCCATGACCACTTAGGCAAGGATCAGACTTGTATCCCATAACCACTGAGGCAAGGATCAGACTCGTATCCCATAACCACTGAGGCAAGAATCAGACTCATATCCCATGACCACTTAGGCAAGGATCAGACTTGTATCCCATAACCACTGAGGCAAGGACCAGACTCATATCCCGTGACCACTGAGGCAAGGAGTGCTGGGTAATAGGAGGAGGTGTGGCTTCAAGGACCAGCGTGTGGGCTGGTTCGTTTTTCTGTATTTCTTAGATGCTAGTGTTCGTCACCCAACAATCCCTGAATAAAGTGCAAAATAATCAAGAGGATGGCGTTGCAGAAGCACACTCCCCAACCAGCCACTTCCCAGCCGATGGCAACAACTGTACCTGCAAAGACCTCTCAGGTGTGTGGGCTCACGGCCCACCTGCACTGTGCACTTTGCCTGTATAGCGGGGCATTACATAGGCATCTTGTGCTTTTCGTAGGCGGGGAAAAAAGTACTGCCTACTTCCGTAGCAGGCACACCACCTTCCGACCTGAGGCACCCTTCGGAACGCACAGGTCCTTGAGACTGCTCTCCAGATGTGGAACCGGAGCAGGTGAGAAGACCACAACTCCCTCTGATAGCCCCTGGGTACCCCAGGGCCACGGGGCGCCTCAGCAATTGATGATCTTAGGGCGATCCTGAAATAGATGCCGGCAGGTGGCCCTTCTCAATGAAACTGGCTTCTCCACCACGAGTCACGCGGTAGCTGTCTCCTATGGGATCGGGCCATCCCTAAAGACCCACCCAGACTCTGTCATTTTCTCGACTCTTATGTGGGGAGCCACCTCCTAAACACAGCAGCTAGAGCCTTACTATTTGCAGCAGCTGCCACACTCTGTGTTTAGAAGAGCCAAGAAGAAGAGGGAACACACGTGCCCCCACACCTAAAATAGTTTCAGAATTCACAGGCAAACCACTGGTTCAGAAAATTGTGCCTAAAATCATCCTGAAAACCTTGGGCCAACAGCCCATATTCCTAGGACTCAGCTCCAACGGTACATGAGACTGATTCGAATACAGGCACACCTTGAAAGACTGGGGGTTTTGTTCC